ATCCGGGTCCGGAGGTGTCCGGTGATGTCTGGATTGCCGGACAGTCCGGACTGGTCCAGACACTGGTCCGGAAGACAGTCCGCAAGTGTCCGGTGTCCGGGTCCGCGGTTACCATTCTTTTGAGTCATTTCATATTATTGTATTTGTTGGATCGGGGTTGAGCTCGGCAAGGCATAAATTCGGAAAACAACGGTAACGAAACAAAAAGCACATTCCCCACTGGAAGAAATGGCAAAACGAAAAAACAGCAAAAACATTTTCTTTCATGGGAACGAAAAGGGTAAAACCATGAAAGCAATAGTGATAATTGCAAGCTCTTTAAATGAATGATGAAAGCCACTGGAGATATGAATGAGGTGAAAGGTAGGTACAACGATCCACTCTTTGGAAGAAAGCGAAGAAGAAATCGAATAAAAAGCTAGAAACATTCATTACACTGATTACATACCAATGGCAAGGACCCAATCACCAACCTTGGCAGCCTCCTCGCAACTTCCAGAACGAAGGTCATGGTCCACCACCATACCAAATATTTTCGTGTGACTCGATCTGCTACCATCTTTGTCACCCTTTCCTCGCCAGTTTTCCATCCATCGTGAAACAAGTAGGCTCAATGCCATGCTGTCTGCACCCCCTGAAACTGCAACAGCTGCAACAAAATCAACAGCACAGGGGACAAGCAGGGCCGGACATCATGCTCTGGATGGTAGGCAGTCCTTTGGTCTCAAACACAGTGCCAGTGGTGGCATGCTGGGGCCTCCCACACTTTGCTTGGGGCCCCAGACATCCTTTGGGCAGACCCCCTCGGCTATGGAGGCCCTTCGTATGACCTTCTACCAGCCATCAGGCCCTCAGCCATCATGAGGCGCTCGATGAGTTCAACCCCAGACAGGCGTGTATGTCTGATTTAAGTCCAGGCATCTGGGTATCTTGTCTGTGCTCGGATTCAGTTTTATTCAGTTTGGTGTCAGTACAGTGTTCTTGAATGCAGTTCGCTTTGTTCTCGTCCAGACTGTGTTTTCAGGATTTCCGTGTACCCGCTCAGGACTTGAGTGTGGCAGCAACAATTACACTGTTGGATATCGAGTGTGAGGTACCCACCTTCAGTCTTACCTTTCAAAGGCTGGGATGGAGTTTCGCATACATTGGTATATAGATGTTGATAGACCGTTACTCTGTTTATAGACCGTTACTTTACGACAGCATTCATCAGTCAGTGTGGCCTGCGATATTTCGCTGGGTTGCGGGACGACCAGAAACTTCATTAGCCAGCCATTCACTAACAAGGTTGACATGTCGCCTACAGTACAGAGGGAGGCATGCTCACAGAGGTTCCCTTGGTGGATGGCGCTATTTGATACCGGGTCGACCGATGCCTTGACTCTGTGTGCAATTACTTTGCACCTCATGCACAGGAGACCATTATTTCAACATCCTCAACACACCATGCAATATGATCTTGGGCATGCCTTGGCTTCAGAGTGACCATTCTTTGTTGCTTACCTCCCCTTCACCCCCCAATCTCTTGCCATGTTATTGTGGCTACGGATTTTCGTACGACTTGTGCATGTAAACACATCATCAAGATTGAGATATGTTTACTTCATGCAGTTTTGGCTCCGGATTCTATGATTTCCAACGTGTTTTTCAATCCTTGAGTGTTGCAGATTCAAGAGCGTTTGCAGATGCATACCAGTTCCCTTCAGGAGTCGTTGAGGCCGCCCCATCGTTCATGAGATACTGCATGACGGGGCCAATCCACCAAAGAGATGTATCTATCGCATGAGTGCAGAGGTCCTCCCAAGCTCAACTCGACTATACGCTTGCTTAGGAGTGGACTGTACCTAGCAGCTCTCCTACGACTCACCTGTTCTCTTCGTACGGAAAAAGAACAAGGACTTGCGGCTATGCATCGACAACTATAAGCTCGATGTGCAAACAGTAAATGTATGCTCCCTTCTGCGTATCGATGAATTACTCCAGCAGTCCAAAGGTGTAAGCTCAATGTGCAAGCAGTAAAGAATGCATGCCCCCTTCTGTGCATCGATGAATTACTCCAGCAGTCTGAAGGCGCCCATTACTTCTCTAAGCTGCACCTGAAGTTGGGCTACAATCAGATTCAGATTTGCTCGCAGGACCACTACACGTTTCAAGACGTGGTATGGGCATTTTGAGTGGCTCGTCATGTCTGCAATGACCAACGAGTTTCTTGCCATATACGATTGTTTCATCGTAGTCTATCTCAACGATATTCCGATCTATACTCGGATGTTGGATAAGCACCTGGAGCACCTGTGCACAGCCTTCGAGTGACCAAAAAATAAGTAGCTTGAGAAGTTGGGCCATCCTGTCACATCTGAGGGCATTCGTCTTCTCAAGGATAAGATATTGGCCATTCCGGATTGGCCGGAACCCGTCAACGTCACCAACTTCCGTTCTTTCCTTCGTTTGGTGGGTTGCTATCAGCACTCTCTCCATTCCGGATTGGCCGGAACTCTCAAGGCAGCTATGTTAGCAACCCTAGTTTTATGCAATTCAACCTTTACCTTCACCATACATGTACAACTGACGCATCCGGCTACGTCATGGGCACCGTGCTTGATCAAAGCACCGGAGAAGCCTTCCAGCCGGTGGAATACTTTAGCAGGAAAGGTTGTCCCCATCCACTTGATTGATAGCGCAAGGAAGAAGGCACCAAAGAAGACTTCCATCCCGTGGAATACTTTAGCAGGAAAGGCTTCCCCCATCCACTTGATTGGCAGTGCAAGGAAGAAGGAACTTTCGGCATTCATCTCAATTCCCAAACAATGGCAGCACTTCTTCCTTCTGCGCCACAAGTTCGTGTGGATTACAAACACCCCCATGGCATCAATCCAACAAGTCAAAACGGCTCGCTAATTCTTGATCCATTGTGTAGTGGTTGACCACACATTTTCAAGGTCGACAACATCATATCACACTGGCTGGCCTACATTGATCAGTTCGACATTGATATCAAGCACACATCCGACAGGTCGAGTCAGCTCATGGATGTTTTATCTAGGTATGAGACCCAACCTTTGGCTTTTCACTTCAAGAGGAGCAGTGGCATCATTTCATCCGAGGATACGAGTTGGATCGCAAGCTTCACAAGATCTACAGTCCTCTGCATTCACATTATTGCATTCAGGATGCGTTTCTCCTTCTGCACTCGCACGTTCAGGACTTCCTTTATGCTCCTCATGATCTGCAGTTGTGTACTACTCTACTCGGGGACTACCATGCTGCTCCGATCGCAAAACAACTTGGCATGACTAGCACTACGGGGTAGGTTGGGGGGGTGGTGTTTCATGGAGTGGTGGTTCAGGGGGTTCTTGGGGGGGGGGGGGGGGG